CACACACATAATAATAGCACTATATTAACTAGTACTGTAATAACATACAAAAATTAAAAAAACTGATTAGTGTATGAAGCAACCAAAAAACATTGAAAAATTTGATTCATTTGTCGCAATTTTTCATTCTTTCTAATAATTTAATTAGAAATTCTGAATACGAAAGTTATTAAGACTTTCCTTTACTTTAGTTATTTTTTATGATTTCACAGAATGGTATTCACAGCAAATTTTTTTATTGCAAGATTGGTTATAAGAACTCAGTTCTTCGAACGATCTTTTCTATCTTAGTTATTGTTTTGGGAATGCGTTACTTGAATTATTGTTACTTCGTTTTCAATATTGGAATTCACTTTTTTGCACCGTAGTTTCAGCGAAATTAATATTTTTCAATAGCGTTTTGCATTTTTCCAATTTAATGTAATTTCGTCCCTTACTTTGTAAAAATTAAACGGAATTTTGTGAAATATAATTAAAACTGAAATCGTTTTATGCTAGAACAATCAAGTAGCATTAAAACACTTGAAATTCTTTATTGGCGACTCTGATGTTTCCGAAAGTCTGATTGTTGGGCAAAACGCAAATATTTTTGTACTTTTTTACTTTATCCATGGTTTCATTAGTTATATTTTACACTTTTCTTGTCAGAAATTGTACTACAAAATTAATACCCAAGTGGCAAGAAATCCAAATAAGTTCTTTCAATGAATATTATTGCATTCTTTCAATGTTTTGACTGCTAACCATTAGTTAAATCTAATTTTCAAAAATTATCAATCAAGTGCAATTATTCATAAGATAACATTTAAGGAAATACCCATTTTGAACTAATAAATCCAACAAAAGTGGTAACCTAATTAAACTGACTTGTGAAGTAATTGATGTTGAATTATTGCTAATGATAATTTGAATTATAAATGTATTTTTTCTTTATAAAACCCGAACTGGAAAAGGGTTGGTTTACCACCAATACAACGACTCGTCGAATTAAATCATTTAAATTTACTTATTGCAATAAGAGTCAAGTTAATTAAGAATTTTACTATGTAATTTTGTTTTCAAATGCTGAACTTGGAATAATAATTTCCACTGATATCAGAAAAGTAATTATCACCAATTTTTTTAAAACTAAATACATATTTTTTTAAATTTTTCTTTTTAAAATTTTGATATTAAGATCATTTTTTTCTATCTTGGGGAAATGTGTAAGAGTGTTATTGTGCAGTGCAGATATTGCACTGGTTGTTTTTGAAACTAAAGTTTAATATTACTACAATAAACATTCAGCAAAGAAATTGTATGAAAGCACATTTTTTGTGTTTAAAATGAACACCCTAAGTTATAAAAACTCTCTAATTTTATTAATGAGTTAACGCCTTAGATACACAAGATACACACAATATATTCCACCAAAAAGCAACAACAAAACATAAAACAAGCTAGTAAAAATTAAGAACATTAGAGGAGCAAACCATCAAATTAGTCTGAAAAACGAAAATAATGATAAAGAATATATTTTGGAAATGCAAAGAACTTAAGCAATTGAAGATTAGACACAATAGTTTTAATTAGCATTTGAAAGGAATAGTCAAGGCGATCGCAAGCAAGTTTTCTCTGAACATTGATCTATTGTGTGCATAATTCAAGCAGCCCGTCATCCCGTCCGGCTGAAGAAACAATGCACTTTCCAATGGTTCTTCTTCACGAGTACAATGGCGTCTAATTCCTAATTAATTAAGTGTGAAATTTAATTACCGAAAAACTTCTAGTTCCTTGCTTGAATGATGTTGGCTTAAGAATTCGTTATTGTCCACTTTCATTAAAGTCAGGCAATTTTCTGTTTTGTGTGGTCAATAAAGTGAGCGATTTTCTTAGCATTTGGAACAATCGGTAGTTATGCGCTATTTCGCTCAGCAGCTCCTCGAGGGCACGCTTTTGTAAAATGTCAGAGTCGAGTATTGGAAAGTGGGTTAGCGATTCAACGAAAGGGAAATAATGAATTTTTCTATCTTGAATCTACTGCGAGCTAAAGGTAGATAAAATAGCGAGGACAAAGGCTGAATGTGAACAAACGGCCAACTTACCATTGACCCATTTCCAGGTCCGGGAAGTCAAGCCAGGCTCCTTTTCGGCCCCGATCCAAACCAACTGGGTTTTTAGGGTTGGTTTTCTTCGTTCTAGTTCAGCGTAGAGAAACGATGTTTGTCCTTGGCTCATTCCATGGGCTAAATCCCCATTGTGACCTGAAAATGGAGTTATTTTAGGAAAATCTTAGGCAATTTTAGTCTGACAGAAACTATCTTCGATAGTTGATGTTTAGAAGGAGCATATTCACTCATTGTTAGGATTTAAATAAACATATTTAATAATAACCTAAATAAATAAATCAGTTTTGCATCTACAGTGCTTTGATAAATAGTTTTTCTTCCATATGTTCATTTCTTCTGCAAAGTTATTATTTGTTGAGGACCTTTTTGGTACTTTTTTTTCAGAGATACATTTTGTTAAATCTTTGATTAATCGCAGCTGTATTGCTTGTTTCTTCTTTGCATTCTCTATCCCCATATTTATGTTCAGCGGAGTTCGAAATTGATTCACTTTCGACTTTTACTATATCCGCAACAACTCACTCGGAATAGGTTTCTTTCAGATTTCTCGTTTTTTGTATGCGCAATTTATCACACTGGACTTGTGGTTTTTTTATTATGCGGTTTATATAGTTTTGTCATTTATGGTCGTCAATATTTTTCCATCGTTCACCTGTAAGAATCCCTGTGTGTCTCGTCCAGTTTTTTTTATTATTACATTACATCAATTACGTTTTTGTAAGTCTCTTCTTAAGAATTGGGAGTTAAGTTTGCGACCTTTGATCTTACAATATATATATTTTCTTTTTGAAGAAATATTAGCTGGCAAAACCTTCAGTGTTTAAGGTAAACCATCAGATATAGAAAAAAAATAGATAAAGCCAATAGCAACATGAATATTATTCATTACAAGGCTCAAACCCGTTAAAGCCATTACAAAATTAGTTGGTTCCACCTCCAAACGCTCATTATCAAATTCCTATAAAAGCTGTTAAATTTCCGAAAACCAAAAATTAAAAATAAATTTTTTTAAAACGTCTGCACCTTAAAACATCAGTTTTACTACATCTATTTGCTTCTACTATTTTTTGTGACTATTTTGAAGAATAAATTATCTATTTTTCATTTATACTAAAAATGAAAATGAAAAATGAAATAAAGTGCTGCCTAAGCCAAAGAATCTAAAAATTATTCCCAATGATAGATTTCCGAATTAATTAAAGTTTCAAAATTGATCCTTTTTCACAAAGCTTCCTTTAGCTGCTCCTTAAGTTATTCATGCATTATCATATCTTTGTTCTTTCTTGGCAATTGCTATTTAAAGGTTGTTATTTTTACATGTTTCCGTATATTCTGTACATCTTTTTTAAAAACTATAATTAAAATCATCTTTCACGTTTAGTGACTGTCATAAATAGATTCAATTTTTAAAAAATTTACATTGCAAATTGTAGCTTTCTTATTGCTATATGTGGTTATTTTGTTGGGTCTATAATAAGGTATTTCCGAATCATGCAAAAACTGAAGAAAATTGGCACAATTTTTTCATAAAGACCAAAACCAATTTATGGTAAATAAAAAAAAGTTGGTGTAAACGTTTCAATTTCAAGAATAATACGAAATTTCTTGGTATTTAATTTTACAAAACTGCGTAAAAACTAAAACACGAACACGTTTGATATTTGAGAAGAAAAATGTACAAGAAAATCAAGTGGTTTAACTTTCAAGAGTTTTTTTCAAATCCTACTTGAAAACAGGCATGAAAATTCATATTTTAGAGATGAACAGAGCGTAGAAATCACTAGTTGAAGCCGGAAGAGAAGTCAACATTCATATATCCAAAGCAAGAGCTTTTATGGCTATTTTAAACAATTGAATAATAGTCAAACAAATAAAATATTTAGGAAGAAACATTTGTACTAAAATAATCCAAATCAAGGTATTTGCTTAAAGTTGTTGGTTATGGATGTTAGCTGATACGAATGGTGAAATAAAGCTACATACTTTTGCTAAATTTAAAGGAKATGTAGAAAGTTAATGACCAACTTTGTAAATCCTCTTTAAAAAAAAGAAAAGAAAGTAAATGCTCAAAAATAAAGTAATTTCTATAAAAAATTTSCCACAAAATGGGCTAAGTCAACTCTAAAAATCTCACTTTTAATATTCTGAAAATCCTGCAAAATCCTAAATGAGATGAGCTAACAGAGAAAAACTATAGATTTCAGTAAAAGAAAAGCAACATTTATAACTAATTTGATGACTTTTTTAGAATTATTTTCCTGTCTCTTAAATCCTGTCAATAAAAACGTGCAAACATTAGTTAGAACTAAAGAAAGTAAAATATAGTTTGTTTATTTAAAAAAAATCCTCCAGTTATTTCTTGTGTGTGGTTTCATTCTTGCTAGCTTAGTAGTAAACTTTTTACTCTGCGACATTTTCAAGTAATTATATACCACTTGTACGAATCATCAAAAAGTGTCTAATGTAGGCAAATGTATAAGGTGTACCTCGCTGTACTATTTTAATATACCTTTTTATTATATAATATTTTTATTATATAAGTATATAAAAACACATATTCAACCATGAGCTTGTTTTTATTTTCCATMATTTTTCTCGATATTTCAAACAATTACTGATATGTTTTATAACTTACCTTTATTAAATTATTTGTTTTTTAATTTTCATTGATTTCTAACGTAATTTTTATTAAGTAAATATGTTTAATGCTTTGAATAAGCTGTAGGTAATGTATGGCCAAAGAAGTAAGCAATTATATTACATTTTAATATTATATAAAAATACTTCAGTACTACAGATAGAGTAGTTGCAATTTGTTTGAAGATTGAAAAGTAAAATCATGCAAATATTAAATCTAAGCAAGCAATTAAAGACATAGACAAACATAGAAAAAGGTTTGAGTAAATTATATTTTTAGAAATGGGCAGGTAGAAAGAAATCGCAACGAGAAACACTCGGGCGGCAGAAATTGAAAAATAAGCAAAATTCATAAAATTTTGTAAAACAATTAAAACGTAAAATTCACGAATAAGATTTATTAGTTACCTTGATATGATGAGGAAACAAGTAGGTACACAGTTTATAATGCTAATTAATCTAATCTAATTTTCCTTGTGTTTTTTTGCAAATTTAACTAGTGGAAAGTAAATCAAAGAAAGTCCTAATAGAAACTTCGTTTTGTCAAAATTTGCATTCAGACCTGAATGAATGCTCCAAAACTGATTTTTTTCCCACAGGCCTTTAGGATTTTAAAAGTGAGAATTTTCAACTTGAACAATCGATAATGATCACCTTCGTTTTCTGTTGAGCTTTCTGCAAATGTAAAACATACATAAAAACATAAAAAATAGGACTAATTTTTTTATAGACACCTTTAGCGTCAACAATTAGTAACCCATTGACAATTTCTCTTTGTACTAACCTTGGCAGTAAGCTCGAGCTTCCTGAAACGATCCACCCCTAGAGACCCCAAATTCATAACAGGTGCGGGCAAAAGCTGCAAGTTGCGCTTCTTCAGGTGAGTCTTTCGGTGCACATCTGTCTACCGAAAATTCTGTAAAAAACCGTTTGTTATTCACTTACTTCTACAATTTTGCGCAAAAGCAATAAACAGAAGCGACAGTTAAAAGTTCTTTTTTAGGAAAAGTATGCAAAGTTTTCAAAAGCTCATTTTTCGGACTTACAGAAATACCGGTACTTAACAAACATGACAATATACAATTTTTATGCTCCTTCAATGGTCTTCTAAAATCATCCATTACTAAGCTGGAATCAATGTGATTTTAGCCAACCTGTATATCGTGGAAGTGTAGAATAGGAATTCCGTAATTGGCTAATAACGTATAATGGAAAGTATGGTTTCGAAAGCGACAGTTTGCATTCAGTGCTTGCGTTCAAGTTCAGACCGAGCTTCCGTAATGGTTTTACGATCGGGAGTGCCGCGAAAATGCTATTAAATGGCCAACTATTAGAGGTTTCGGATCCTAAATATAACCATTTGTTAATTTTATGTTAAAACCTTGCATCCTCGGTCACATGCATCAGAAGATTGTCATCAAATCTAGCCATTTAATATATATTTTTTCAAATAATTTGCATAAGAGTCATGGAATAAGCGTTTGTTACACCGACAGATCATCGCAGATAACCCTGAACGCTTCATGATATACATTTGTGCATAAATACAAAGATTATTAACATTTAATGAACGAATTATAATAATTACAGACGAGAATAATAGTTTGGTAATTAGGCGGGCCTTGCGCAATCCAAGCTCGCTTTTTCAACGGGAATGAACACGAAATTAGCTAAGTGAAACTGTCTATTTTAGGCGTTTTTTTCAAATCCCCTCAATTAATAATCGCTGATTTAATAAAATAATACAGACAAAATTCGCGGATTACATCGGCAAATCGAATGCATTTTGTTTAAATAATCGCTCCGTGTAAAAACATTGAATGGCGGAAAAAGTTCAACAATGAACTCGAGTAGTTACTTAAACAGATTACAAGATGTTAAGCAAAAAGCGTTAAACACCCTTGTTATAAGCGCTCAAATAGCGATTATGCCAGTGAAAGTGAGTCCGATTACGAAACGAGCGCCCATCGAAGATGAAAATTTATTTAATTGCTACCGGTGAGATTTTGATGGTCAATAAACTGTTAAGCGGTTGATAAAACATTTTGATGTACCTACCATCAGGTGTGAATACTTCAACTTCACAGAGGGATAAAGATCCTTCCACTCCAACCAACTGGAGGAAGACATATTCTCCGATAAGCGGTCGGGCACAGGTGAAGGTTTTCGTTGATCCTTCATCTAAATTTGTACAGTTAAAAAAAAAGTTTAAAAAAATTAGCCTAAATTTGCAATCAGTCCTCACCTATTGTTCCAGGAAACCACGCACATAAAGGGTTTCTTTGCAGGTCGGTACTGCTATTTCCCACTCTGATTTCCAGATCTTGTAGGGGCTGATGGCCGCAGCAGCCCCTGGTGGTCACTCTCACCACTTTGACTGCGTATGGTCTGAGCAAATCCACCTGCCACCAGGGGCTCGCCTCTTTCTGAGTTTCTGAGCATTTTTTCGTTTCGTGATCGCTGCTGGTTTCACCATCGTTCGCATTAAGGGCGGTTCCGCCTCTTACTGTTGTCGATTGATTTGCAGGTTTTCGATAAGCAATGTTTACACCTGAGGAAATAACATGCACAGTTTTAATGAAATTATAAATGTTGATATTAGCAGAAGCAGAATAATTTACTGGGTTTTAAAAAAGTTTTATCTAATTTGGATTATATTTGAAAGTTATAGTTGAAAGACGCCTGAAAATAGGTGGAGTTTAATCTTCTCATTATTTCAAAGCTCGTTAAAATGCAGATTGGACCAGGTTTTGTATAGCAAACTTGAAGAGTTGGTCTATCAATACATCTTCTAAAGTGCCTTATTTTCGATAAACAGCTAAAGATATGCTTGCACAAACAAAATACTTAAAAATGTAAGTAATAATTAACACTTTAATTGTGTATGCATATACGCAATGAAGAAGTTTATTACTATTTTAATCGCAGTATTGTAAGTCAGTACGAGTTGTGCATTCAAATGACTGGTTCTCATATCATACACTTTCTATAACTGTTAGTGTCTTCAATTATTGATTTATTCATGAGTTCTGAAACTGGATGTTATTGAAAGAAAAAATAGATTTGCCCAAAATTGCAAATAGATTTGTATATATTCAGAATGTAAATATAAGTCGACGAGCTCCTGGTGTCTCTCGAGAAGGGGCTTTTTTACGTGTTGCGATATGCGGACGATATAGCCATTGTGGTGTAAAAAATGTTTCAATTTAGCCGCAAATAACACATAACCAAAAATGGAGTTGCAAAATTTTGTGACATTTATTATATCTGGAAAGCAAATCAATGTAGAAAATACATTTGTAAGGATTTTTTTATGAATTCAAAGTTTGTCACCAAAAAGCTGGTTCACACCGTAAAAATGTTTCACAATCCCTAAAATGTATGAAAATTACTAAAGAACAGTCAATATGCAATTAGAACCTTGCGAAAAATTCAAGGCCTCAATAGAAATGCTATTTCGAACGTGGTCAGTCGGTTGATGACAGTCGCTAGTTAAAGAAAACTAAAAAAAAAACACTTGAAAACCCATATAAAAATACTTCGAATGCATAGGAAAGGTTCCCAGCAAGTGCGAAATGTTGTAAAATTTTGATTATTTTTGTCTGTTTTACTTATTTGCATCTAAACCAACTTTACGCATTAAGAACAATATTTATTCCAAAGCACTAACAAAAAATATCCAAGACACCAATAAGAATGTTATTTCGAACATTTCGAATTCTTTGATAACATTTGCAACTTATGTAATATAAAAAAAGCAACAAAATAATTCAAAAAGGATTTAAATGAATAAAAAAGTTTTTCATTAATCAGTTACGAGGGTCACAATATATTTATTTATTTATCGATATTTTTACAAACACTATAATAAAATTGTAATAACAAGGATTAATGTATCTCGTATTATTTCCAAAATATCGAGCAGTCAGTAGGATTGGAATAAAATATTTTTTAGTGCGCAAATTTATCTTTCATACTAATAATTTTCTTTTTATTTTTTAAAGTGTATTTTATATCAGAGATCAGCTATTAATTGTCAATTAGATTCACTTGATTTTTTATATAATACGTAAAATTCAAACAGTGAAAGAAAGTGTATTCGTAGGACATTGTTTCGTCATAAGTTTAACACGGGTTGTTAGATTAGAAAAAGCAAAAAAAAATGCTTTTAAAATCCTTTGAAGGATCGTTGGTTTTTAGTAAACTATTTATTGGGATTGAGCAAATAGTGGTAAATCATTCAACGCCTTAAAAATATGTTTAAAAAATAGTAACGACGTTCCGATCGGTTCGGAATTTTCACTCCTTTTAATATTTGCATTGCTCAAAACACTGGGAAAATATTCAGTCAGTTAAGTTAAAAAAAAATTGTCAATTTTGAAAAATTATTGTTAAGTTTTGAAATTTAATAATCTTTTTCCAATTTCGCACTTTTACTAAAACTGCAATTGTGCATTTTAGTTCAAACAAACTCCTAAGTCTAAGTAGAATTAAGGAAAAGAACTGTAAAAACTGAACTTTTCCCAATAATTACCTAGAAAAGAATAAATACGAGCTTTTTAAAGTTCAAATGTGTTATACAAAAATGCCTTAAATGTGAAATGTAAACGAGCTTTTTAGCCTAAGTACAAACCTATTCCGGCTTATAAAGATGTTTTTTCGAGTCTAAGAAATCTTTGAGTGTTTACATTGGCTGTTAAGTTAAAACATTACATTTGAGAAGCAACAAACTTAACATGAGTCTGTTAGTTGGATCATCCAACACATAATTCAACTCATTTCATCTTGGAAGGATTTTTACTGTATACCGATCTGATTCTTTTTTGGTTCTAAACATACAGAAATAATGTCTTCAACTTTGGCCAAAATCTGTCTTGACTAATCTATTCAAATCTACACCAATCTTGCTCAGGCCCTTGATTAAACACACTTCAACATATCGATGATTCCCATAACAATAAATCATTAATAGGCGATTGAAAAAGAATCAGATTTGAATAGAAAATATTCGTGAACCATGCGATACCTTCAAGGACGTTAAAAATCCCATATTACTACAATAATACGTTTAGCTGCTTTAGTAAATGAAACTTCCCTAACCTTAAGCTGTAAAAATTGATTGAAGACCCTGAAAGTTAAGTGAAAAAGATCTGTGACCATGAATTGCCGTATTGTCTACACCATACCGTGTGGTGATTGTATGTTATAAAAACGATATAAATTATAATTATATGTTAGGCTGAGATAACATCATTGTTCCTTTAGATCTTGAATTCTCAGCGGATTTGATCATAAAGGGTTTTTATTTTCTTTGCTAGTTTTAGAAGCGTTAATCGTTTAAGTCTCACGTAGAAACTGTTGTGAGAATTGATTTAAACCCAGTTTTTCACTTCTTTCTCTGTTATTTATTCTACAGCTGATTTTTTGGTGTCAAAGTACTAAACTGTTATGCAATTATTAAATTATGCAGAAAGCTCAATAAGAGCTTGGTCTATTAAATAATGCAGTAGCTATAATTTTGCATTTTTATGCCCACCGCGGTTGTGTAATATTTACAATTATAAGATTTCCTGAGTTGGCAGTAAATGGCCGAATATTCAATATAATATTTACACACACACACAAAAGGGAGAAAACGTTTAAATTTGTTATATCGTTGGTGCCATCGGCCATTAAAATTAACTAGATTTTAATGTATTTTTAATAGCTAATTGTTATCGAATGCTGTACAGGTAAGACATCAATGCTCACGTTTAAAGGAAATTATTCTTCTTTAAGCTAGTAAATATCTAGAACAGAAGGTGATTATTTTAAAAATGCAGTTTCTACTTCAAACCTTCACGCTGTATATTTTCCAAAAAATCAAGTTTTGCAGTATAAATACGAGTTTCACTCTATTAGAATTCATTACCAAAACCATCAATTTTCCAGTAGATTTAAAATTTTTAACTTTTTGCAAAGTTAATGCCCTCTTAGCTTTTATTTTGATCATCATGTAGTTCTACAAAAATCAAATTTACTCACTGGGTTTATTGATCAAATTTGAAAATTTTGATCTCTATGGAAATCCTGTTGACAAGATTGTAGAACACATTTTAGTTTTTAGCTGGCAAAATAGCAAAAAACAATTAAAAAATTTCAAGATTGCTTTTGACTTAATGTTTTTATAAGTGTTTTAATGCGACCACGATAAAAATATTAAAAACGTGTTAGAATAATGCGCTGTAATTAAGTGTATAGTTCTAAACTATGTATTTTATAAAAATTTTGTACTTTAGCGGAACTCTAATAAGCTTAAAAGGCGATATCAGCTGAAGCTTTTTTGCTTTATTGGAAAACTTATTTTAACTTTCTGTTAGAAAACACCATAGAATAATTATGGGTGGATAGTTTCTGTGGGTTTTCGGATTTCTCTCGCGTTTGCCTAAAATACACATCATCTCTACTAATTTTGAAGCATATCATTTTATTTTTGTCACACAAAAATGTTGAGATTGATATAAGTCTATTTATATCAATTGATTGATTAATTTTACGCAATTCATCTTTATTGCATCAATATGTGTGTGTCATATGGGTATAGAACATATTGATATAAAAAAAACTGCAGAATAAGATGCCAGAAAATATTTTCATTAATAAAGCTAGTTCTAGTTCAATTTAAATATTTGAACTTTCATAATGTACAGAAAATACACCTGAGCAGCTAATGAAACTTGAGTGTAAGGAAAAGAAGGCCCATTTCTTCCTCTACTTTGGGACGAAGGAAACAGGTTGCTATCTCTCAAGGTTTCTGAGAAATTAATTTTCAAAATGTATTTTACAAGTGGCACTTTTTGCAAGAATGAGAAATCAAATTCTTTCGAATTGAATTCAGAATACAGAAATGAAGAGGATATTTGTGTGTGCTATTTAAAATACCAAAGTTGATGGCCGTAGCGCTTTTGTGAAAAAATGGGGATTTTCATTTAAGTATATCTAAGCTATTTTATACTAATGGGACACGTTGGACACGGGAATTTTATACACGTTTTATCTATCTGCTTTCGAGCTTTCGACAAACATTCAAATGTAACACTAGTTTATCTAGATTTTGTAAGTTACTAACCGCAAAAGGGCATTTCTCCTGCCCATTGACCGGAAGACGAGCAGGAAATCTGCGAGTTTCCAAAAGTTTCGTACCCTTCATCACATCTGTAGCTTGCAGTGGTACCTGGTACTAAGCTGGAGGAGCTTAGCGTTAATTTTGCATTCAACGGTATAGGCGGATGACCACATCGTACATCTGAAACAAATAAAACGCCTATTACAGCAACATTGACCTGGTCTATTTTCATAAATTATCAATGGAACAACGTTAAAGGAAAGTTGTCAGTGTTGGATGTCGTGTTTTGAAAAAAATTGCATGCTAGCTTGAACTGGCAGACCGTTAAATGCAATATGGGTGACCGAAATGGGGCCAGTGGATGTTTGAAAATTTTTCTGCTTCAAACGTTTGCTGGTTTCATTCAGAAATAATCCTTATTGATGCACAGAAAGAGTCTACAGGAAAAACGCGGAATTAAACCAAAGACCATTGAAATTCACTTAATATGAAACTCACACGGCTTTAAATCGGCACTTTCACTTGGTTATTAACTAAAAACGCAGACACTTTGGTTTTGTATGCAAAGCACTACATAGTAGAAAGTGTTATTAGGACATAACATGATAAAACTCGACTTTTGTATGCAGTCTCTTTTTTTGCTTAATGGGAAAGTGTGGCTAATGTAAAATTGATAATATTTTGCCGGTAATGAAATGAAAAAATTTGCAAGTTGTGATTAATGAGAAAGAATGGAACAAAAATCGTTTTTATAGCAAATTTAAAACAGATGATCACTTTTCCAATTGCAGTCTCTTTCCAGCTGATAGTGCTTGGCATTCGCTCAAGTGGAAAATGTGGAGCCACTATTGAAGATTTCTACTGATTAGAAACCTTGAAATACGTATGAGCATGCAGTGAAAATTGATGCTTAGCATGATATCATATTCAGAATCATGAACTAATAAATCAGCTTTCTTCCAATCAACCACATGGTTGCGATGATTAAAATAATCATTGGACTGTGTTAGATTAGAGATTTTCTTCGCCAAGCGTTGGTTTTCTAGGTCTTCTGCAACTAATTACTGTCTTTCTGCAAGCTAAAGACAGAAATACCTGCTCCAACCACCTTAACATCTTGGGTAACATTTCCTGAAAGTTTCGGCCTTGACAAGCGATATTGTTACACTATGGTATAAAATGCCAATAATAAAACATTAAGAACCGCGCCCAGGCAACCTTCATGTTTTGTTAGTTTTAAATATCTCGGGTTAATCTGAGTATCAGCTTTATTAATGCCACTTAGCTATGAAACCGGCATAGATTTACCAGAGTTGAGTAATTAAAAGGCCTGCGAAAGCTTTCGATTGGCGTGTAATTGAAATTAGAGCATTATTTTATTCGAACATTGACCTCAAAACCAAAATTCTTTCCAGTAAATAAATACAAACATTCCCACAAGATTTTCCAAAGAGTTGACAAAGCGATATTTATCTTCTCGATATTATAAATCTCGATATTTATAAATCTCAGAGAAATGAAGACACTTTGAATTTATAACCGATATGAAAAGCTACAGTTCTTTTGAACTCTGCATAGCAAATTGTGTGCTGAATTAAAATGTTGTTGCTAAAATTTTGGGTTTAATAAGCTTTATATTTAAATCTTCGTTAATTCCGGTCGAATGCAAAGGAATTTTTAGGTCAAAATTGTAGGAAATTCCAAAGTCGTATCAACTTTCCGTGAGTAGCATTTAGTTGATTTTTCTCACTGAAATTTACGTAATATCAATATTTTATGTTTCGTGGACGGCAAACTGTTTAGATTTTTCGTCAATTAATTTTTACAATATTTTTCTATTTTCATTCGCCTAATACAATGAAAGTTGTATTTTCTTTATTTTACAACACATTTTTTAGGTTGTTTATTGTTTATGGTCTTTTACATGAATTTGCTTACTAAAGTGTGAACTGATTTGCCGGCTCATAGACGCATTTTTTTATGGAAA